GTTGAGCATCGACCGACTGTGGGTCGCCAGCGGCGTCCATCCTTGAACTCTGGCGGCGGGGTCGCCGCCGGTCGACACGACGCGACCCTGCCGCACCCCCCTGCTTGGGAAGTAGGCTGTTCCCTTCGGGCTTCGAGGGGCCTATCCCCAACCTGGCGATCGCTCTGACGTCCCTTCCCTGTGCTTTTGTTCGGTTTCGTGCGTGGTTTTTTCGCCCAATGGTCAAGGATGCTCCTCGATGGTCCTCGCCGACGGAAAAATGCACACGTCCGAGCGATGCCAAGTAACTGGGGTGCTGGGACGGCAGGGCCGAGGTGCCATGGCTCGGTGGGAATGCGGATGGGTCCAACGGTATTGCATGCTGAGGACACATCCGCTGGAGGAGATAGAACTTAACCAGCCTCGAACGTATCCCTATCCCTAAGGTTAGCAAGCCGAAAGTCGACGAAAATCTTAGGGATGAGCCCTCAGAAACGGAGGGAATCCCTAAGATCGGCATCGAGATGAGGCGATGCCAATCATAGGGATAGGGATATGTTCCAGGCTGGTGAGAACTATGCACATGCACCGACTCTGGCCAGGTCCACCCCGAGCCCAGGATCGGTGCCATACGCCTTCGTGGCTTGGCCAGGGAGGCATAGACACCGACCTCGGGCCCAGCACGGGTCTGGCCAGGATCGGTGTATGTGCATAGGTATCCTCGCCCGATCCGCGCGAAGATACACGCCGATCGGAAGAAGTAGGTAGAAAGATGAAGCAGGAAGGCGGTTAAAAAGTAGATTAGGTTCGGGCCCGCCCAAAGAATAACAAACAACAGCCAAACCAGATCGACTCTTGAAGTATGCAGGCGCTTGAAGTAGATTGGGTTCTGGGAATCCACAAATACCTACTTTCAGCGACCGATGGGTAAGCCTTGTGGATGCCATGACGAGGACCACTCTAACAATCCTATCATTGAACTGAAGATGTGTTTAAGATGTGTGAAATCTGTTCTACAAATGTTTCAAACCGGTTTTTTTACATGTTTGAAACATACTTGAAACATGTTTTAGACATCTGGAAATGATTTGGCAGCACAGTTCCTCTCCATCGATCGCCTTCCACAAGGGTGGGAGGCCTATCAACCTCCGAGGGGGAACGTCAGAAGGGGGAGCGGCCCAGGGAGGGGGACACATCGACCTGTAAGGAGCCGAACTCTACACACCGACGCCTTTTCTGACTTCCTCTCCATTCATCGACTTAAAGGGGAACTGGGACACACAAATAAATAGACACAAATACAAGGATTCCCCATATTTTCCCACATTTTCTGGGTTTCTGTCTTCCCCTCCACTTCCCATATTTTCCATATTTTCGTGGGAGTCGACGATTAATTGTGTCTGTGTGTTTTTTCCCCTCCTGAACAAGGTAAGCCAGGAACCACTGCGAGCCGGCTCGTCTGGCGGACGCACCCGGCGCCGCGGCCGTCCCAGAGCGCCCCGCCACGCTCCGAGAGCGTGCCGGGGAAGGCTCTGGGAGCGGCTGTGCTCGGCAGACATTCCCAGACGTCCGCTCGGGGACGCTCTGGAACTAAGGGCTCCCAACTTCGCGCTTCGCGCTGCGCGAAGCGCGAAGTGCGAATAACTTCGCCCTCTCGCGCCGCCTCCCAGGGGAGAAGAGGAGGACGAGGAGGAATCGGAGCCGAACCGCGAAGCGCGAAGCGCGAATAACTTCGCGCCCTCGAGGGCGCCCTTGTGGAACGCTCCGGAACTTGGCTGCCCCGATACGCAACACGCAGCACGTATCGTATTGATACGGAGCTCAACACGCAGGCTGCAAAACGCTCTGGAACGCTCTGGAATGGGACGCACAGGGACATACTGATACTACACGTCTTCCTTGGAGGCGGGCGTCCAAGCCGACCATATAGTATACCCATCTTGTAATATATCGTTTCCCGAGCGGTGTGGCCAGAAAGCGCCCGCCACGACGCGCATACTATCCGCTCTGGGACGCTCTGGAACGCTCTGGAACTTAGCTGCCCCGATACGCAAAACACACCACGTATCGTACTGATACGGAGCTCAACACGCAGGCTGAAAACGTAGGTCCGACGCGATACACTCGCCAAAACGTGGTCCAGTACGTGGAGCCAACACGCAACGTATTGACACGGACGTCGTGAACACTGGACGTGCTGCGTTTCAAAACGCGCGTATCGAGGCAACCATCCCCAGATATCCGGCGTCTCGGATTTTTCGAGGCACGGGCCCGCGACCTCTCGAACACTTCCCCTGGAGCGGGTTTCGCATCCCGCGCCGCCCTGTTGACGGCCCCAGGGCCCGGAGAGGGCCCCGAGAGGCCGAAATCCATGAGAAACTTCGCCTCCGGGCCCCGATGTCGGAGGTCTGGCCCGCAGAACGTCTGGCCCACCATCGGGCGTTGGTAGAAGTGGGTTTAACGGAACCTGGTTTAGTGATCTGTACGGGGGGCGCCCCCCCTGACTACCTACCAGACCACCCCAACCCAACCCGAAGACCCGAATTTCGGGTTGGGGGGGGTACGGGTTCCATATGTGTTTTCTCGATGTTCCCCGACCCCCCCCCACTGGAAATGGAGGGCAAGTTGAGGCCTTCGGGTTGGGTTGGGGTGGTTTGGCAGGTGGTGACCCCCCGTCCCATTTCCACTAACCGGAAGTGCCGTCACCCGAAAAATTATCCTGGCGAAAGACCCAACCATAAGCAATTGTTGGTAACGCGTTGTGGGTGCCTCTTTCGGTGGGGCTCCATATGGGGCCACGCAGCGCTGCCTTGGATGGGGGAACCGCAGGCGGACTGCGCCACCGGGGCGGGCCTTCGGTGGAGCTCCCTATGGGGCTACGAAACGCTGCCCTGGGTGGGGGAACCGCATGCGAACTGCGCCACTGGGGCCTTCGGTGGAGCTCCCTATGGTGCCACGAAACGCTGCCCTGGGTGGGGGAAGCGCATGCGAACTGCGCCACGGGGGCTTTCGGTGGAGCTCCCCATGGGGCCACGAAGCGCTGCCCTGGGTGGGGGACCGCATGCGAGAGCAGCCACTGGGGCCTCCGGTGGAGCTCCCTATGGGGCCACGAAACGCTGCCCTGGGTGGGGGAACCGCATGCGAACACCCCCACTGGGGCCTTCGGTGGAGCTCCCTATGGGGCTACGAAACGCTGCCCTGGGTGGGGGAACCGCATGCGAACACCCCCACTGGGGCCTTCGGTGGAGCTCCCTATGGGGCCACGAAACGCTGCCCTGGGTGGGGGAACCGCATGCGAACACCCCCACTGGGGCCTTCGGTGGAGCTCCCGATGGGGCTACGAAACGCTGCCTTGGGTGGGGGAACCGCATGCGAACACCCCCACTGGGGCCTTCGGTGGAGCTCCCTATGGGGCCACGAAACGCTGCCCTGGGTGGGGGAACCGCATGCGAACACCCCCACTGGGGCCTTCGGTGGAGCTCCCTATGGGGCCACGAAACGCTGCCCTGGGTGGGGGAACCGCATGCGAACACCCCCACTGGGGCATTCGGTGGAGCTCCCTATGGGGCCACGAAACGCTGCCCTGGGTGGGGGGACCGCATGCGAACACCCCCACTGGGGCCTTCGGTGGAGCTCCCTATGGGGCCACGAAACGCTGCCCTGGGTGGGGGAACCGCATGCGAACACCCCCACTGGGGCCTTCGGTGGAGCTCCCTATGCCACGAAACGTGCGAAACGCTGCACTGGGTGGGGGAACCGCATGCGAACACCCCCACTGGGGCCTTCGGTGGAGCTCCCTATGGGGCTACGAAACGCTGCCATGGGTGGGGGAACCGCATGCGAACACCCCCACTGGGGCCTTCGGTGGAGCTCCCTATGGGGCCACGAAACGCTGCCCTGGGTGGGGGAACCGCATGCGAACACCCCCACTGGGGCCTTCGGTGGAGCTCCCTATGGGGCTACGAAACGCTGCCCTGGGTGGGGGAACCGCATGCGAACACCCCCACTGGGGCCTTCGGTGGAGCTCCCTATGGGGCCACGAAACGCTGCCCTGGGGGGGGGAACCGCATGCGAACACCCCCACTGGGGCCTTCGGTGGAGCTCCCTATGGGGCTACGAAACGCTGCCCTGGGTGGGGGAACCGCATGCGCACACCCCCACTGGGGCCTTCGGTGGAGCTCCCTATGGGGCCACGAAACGCTGCCCTGGGTGGGGGAACCGCATGCGAACACCCCCACTGGGGCCTTCGGTGGAGCTCCCTATGGGGCCACGAAACGCTGCCCTGGGTGGGGGAACCGCATGCGAACACCCCCACTGGGGCCTTCGGTGGAGCTCCCTATGGGGCACCGAAACGCTGCCCTGGGTGGGGGAACCGCATGCGAACACCCCCACTGGGGCCTTCGGTGGAGCTCCCTATGGGGCCACGAAACGCTGCCCTGGGTGGGGGTGGGTTGGGGGGGGGGGGCGGGGGGGGTTGTGGGGTGGGGGGGGGGGGTGCGTGTTGGTTGGACGGACACACGCATGCGAACACCCAACGGGGGCCTTCGGTGGCACTCCCTATGGGGCACCGAAACGCTTCCCTGGGCGAAACGCTTCCCTGGTGGGGGAACCGCATGCGACCCCCCCCACTGGGGCCATAGGCGGAGCTCCCTATGGGGCCACGAAGCGCTGCCCTGGGTGGGGGAACCGCATGCGAGAGCAGCCACTGGGGCCTTCGGTGGAGCTCCCTATGGGGCCACGAAGCGCTGCCCTGGGTGGGGGAACCGCATGCGAACACCCCCACGGGGGCCTTCGGTGGAGCTCCCTATGGGGCCACGAAACGCTGCCCTGGGTGGGGGAACCGCATGCGAACACCCCCACTGGGGCCTTCGGTGGAGCTCCCTATGGGGCTACGAAACGCGTGAGAGGTGTGCCGAGAGCAGAGGCAAGGAGGGGGAGGAGGGAGGAGGAGAGGAGGAGAGGAGAGGACGCGGGGCACCGTCTCTTCAAAACGAGGACCCAACACCACAGGATGGTTGGGAAAAACACCAGCTATGGCAGACCTGGTTCAGTGACTCTGGCCCATTCGAAGGCTCCGGGGCCCTACCACTAACCGGGTCCCCTCACCCGGGGTCCTGGCCATGGCGGCCATACCCGACCCAGGCGCCCGGAGAGGGCCGGGAGAGCGCGGCCGGCGGGAGAGACCAGGGAGCAAGAGCGCGCTGCCGCAGCGCCGTGCCGAGGCCAGCTCACCGGAGCCGCGGCCCGGGCGCGGGGGCCCCCCGCGGGCACCTCACGCGTCCAGGAGCTCGTGCCTCGTGAGGGGCCCCGGCGAGCGACGAGGAGCAAGGGGGTCTTACGCGAGGTGGCATAGCGGCCCTGCGCGGTGGCTCACGCAGGGCGCAGGCGCGGCGCCGGCGCGGCACGCCACACCGGAAGCGAGAAAGCATACGCGCGAACTTACGCGGGAAGCTCATGCGCGAGTTCTCGCAGTCGACCTCTGCTCTTCCATCGCTCAAATGATGATGATGATGATGATGATGATGATGATGATGATGATGATGATGATGATGATGATGATGATGCTGCTGCTGCTGCTGCTGATGATGATGATGATGATGATGATGATGTGATGATGATGATCATGATGATGATGATGATGATTGATGATGATGATGGTGATGGTGATGCTGATGATGATGATGATGATGAGCATCATGATCATGATTGATGATGGTGATGCTGATCTATGATGACGATGATGATGATGATGCTGATGCTGATGCTGATGCTGATGCTGATGACGATGACGATGATGATGATGATGATGATGATGATGATGATGATGATGATGATGATGATGATGATGATGATGATGATGATGATGATGATGGTACCGCTACTCCCTGGACCTCTCCCGGGGCGCATCCTGACCAGACCTCCGAGACGAATCCGGCCGCGGCGGCGCGGGAAGGGCACAGGCATCGTTGTCTTCACCTCCCCATGCGCGCCTCTTCAGCAGCTGCCTCACGTGCGCGGCCTTGTGGGAGGGCGCCGACCGCACAGCTACACGGCCCCTGGCCAGGCCCACCCTGCCCCCAGGATCGGTGAGTACGCTCTCCTGGCTTGGCCAAGACGCCATATGTATAAATATATATATCTATATATATGTAATATGTGTATAAATATATATATATATATATATATATATATATATATAGATCCTGAGCCCAGGATCGGGCTGGCCGGGATCGGTGTAGGTGTGCACTCGGGCTCCGAAGCCGCGGCGTGTCACTGATCGGAGGAACGAGCACCGGCACACACAGAATTCCTCGGAGGCCCGTGCGGATCTCCTGGGCCAGCGCTGGGCCCCAGACTGGCATATACATGTATGTTCATGCCGTGCTCTGGGATCCGTCGGCGGAGAGCCCCGGGGGGGGGGGGAAACGAGAAGAGGCGGGCCTTCTCAGAAGGCTCGGAGATCCCCCAGCCTTCTGGGAAGTCTTCTGAGCCTCCCCGGAGGACACCAGGGACCTCTCAGAAGGCGCGAGGGCTCCTGAGAAGTCCCGCTGCCTTCGGAGAAGGCCCTCTCCTGCTCACGTCCCCCCCCCCTCGCTCGCCGCCGAATCCGAGCCTTGGACTCGTAGCTGCCCAGCGCGCCCCAGGTCGAGGAGGTGACCTCGATGCTGCGCCAGCCGACCGCCTCCAGGTGGCGCCGCTTGCGCGCCGGAGGCTCCTGCTCGGCCAGCGGAGAGGCCCGGGGGGGCCGTCGGAGGGGGGACTCTCGGGGCCTCCTCCTCCGCCTCCTCCTCCCTCCTCCTCCTCCTCCTCCTCCTCCTCCTCCTCCTCTTCCTCCGCCTCCTCCTGCTCCTCCTCCTCCTCCTCCTCTATCCTCCCCCCCTCCTCTTCTTCCTCCTCCTCCTCACTCCTCCTCTCCTCTCCTCCTCCTCCTCCTCCTTCCTCCTCCCTCCTCCCTCCTCCTCCTCCTCCTCCTCTCCTCCTCCTCCTCATCCTCCTCCTCCTCCTCCCTCCCCTCCCTCCTCCTCCTACCTCCTCCCTCCCTCTCCTCTCCTCCCTATCCTCCTCCTCTCCTCCTCCTCCTCCTCATCTCCTCCTCCTCCTCCTCCTCCTCCTCCTCCTCCTCCTCCTTTTCCTCGTTCTCCTCCTCCCGTCGCTGTCGCTGTCGGCCTCGGAGGTCGATTCGTCATTTGTTTGACGTTGCGCGCACTTTCATCCTGGGATTGTAGTGTCTGTGGAAGAGATAGAGAGAGAAGGAAAACAAAACAAAATTACTCCGACGGAAGAACCCCACATAAGAATCCTCTGGGCGAATCTGGAAAAAACCATCACCGTCGTCCTCGTGGTTGGTGAGGCGTCCTGGCTGTCTCTTCTGCGTATATTTCCTCTCGCCTTGGCGCGGGCCCCCCTTCCACTCCTTACGTTGTCCCCATCCTCGCCCCCCTGTTTGTTCCGCGCCCCGCCACCTCCTCCCCTTCCTGTTGCATGAGCGCGCATGTCGATGTTCCTCGGCGCCGTCGCCGCCACGGCCAGCACAGGCGCGTTCTCTACTGGTCACGTCGCGCAGCCGTTGGGACAACCCCGCGGGCCAGGCTGTCGGGACAACCCCGCGAGCCGTTGGCGCGCAAGAACAAGCCGTTGGGACAACCCCGCGGGTTTCGAGCGAGGCGCAGCCGCGCTCAGGCGGAAGGCAGCACGAAGCCCAGCTCTGCCGCGAGCTGCTTCGCCTCCGCCCTGGACAAAACCGCTCTCTTGTCGAACTCCAGGAGCGCCTTCCGCAGGGACGCCGGCGGCCCGCACTCCAGGAACTCTCGCGGCGGCGGCCGCAGGATCAGCATGTTCCGCATGCACGTGGCGCGGGAGAACATGACGTAGAGGTGCAGCCACCACTGCTCGTCCGACATGCCCGTGCGGCCAGCGTCCTCGTCTCTCGCGCAGTCGATGGTGACGCCCTTGCGCAGCGTCTGGCCCTGCGACAGCGTGGAGGTCAGGTAGGACGCGTGCGTCAGGGTGAACCCCGAGCGGCGCACGCTGTGCGCCCCCGAGCTCTGCCATGTGAACTCCCTTTCGCTGGGCCTGAACATCAGCAAGCTCCGCGCCCGCGCCTCGGCCTGGCCGTCGTCGTCGGCGCCTTCGGCGCCCTGTCGCAGCACTTCGGCGACCTCCTGGTAGATCGGAGACTCCTTGAAGCCGTGCACCTGCAGCCAGATTCCTGACCCGCTCGGATTACCAACATGATCTGCGGGCCCATAGGGAGGGGGATCCCGCCTGAGACTTCCTCGCAGTTCACTCACAGACGAGGTTCCCGCCTGAGACTTCCTCCATATTCAGGCTTGAGGAGCCAAAAAGTGACGACAGTTACAGGGTTCCGATGACCCGCTCGGATTACCAACATGATCTGCGGGCCCCATAGGGAGGGAGCTCCCGCCTGAGACTTTCCCTTTTTTTTTTTTTTTTTCCTTTTTTTTCCTTTTGTCTCATCAATTCACAACCCCCTTTTCACCATCAGAGACGAGGCTCACGCTGAGACTATCCTCCAAATTTCAGGCTTGACGAGCCCAAAAGTGACGACAGTTACAGGGTTCGGATGACCCGCTTCGGGATTACCAACATGATCTGCGGGCCCCATAGGGAGGGAAGCTCCGGGAGGGGACTCCGCCTGAGATTTCCGCCAAATTCAGGCTTGAGGAGCCCAAAAATGACGACAGATTCTTCCTCCCAATTCATCACAGACGAGGCTCCCGCCTGAGACTTCCTCCATTTTCAGGCCTGGGGAGCTCAAAAGTGACGACAGTTACAGGATTCCGATGACCCGCTCGGATTACCAACATGATCTGCGGGCCCCATAGGTCCCGCCTGAGACTTCCTCACAATTTACTCAACGATGATGAGGATGAGGATGATGAGTGGTGGTGAAGATGAGTGGTGAAGAGGATGATGATTGATTGTGAGTGGTGGTGGCGATGATGATGTTTGAATGAGGATGATGCCGATGCCGATGATGATGATGATGATGATGATGTTCGTGAGCGTGTGAGAGAGTGCGAGTGATGATGATGAATGAGTATGTGAGTGACTAAGCATGTGAGAGAGCATCATCGATGATGCTGATGAGGTTGATGATGAGAGAGTGTGAGTGAGTGTGAGTGGGTGTGTGTGTTCCTGTTCCTGCGCGGGGTGTCCAGAGAAAACAAGAACCCCACTTTGGATGTGGGGAAAAATTGACGACAGTTACAGGATTCCGATGACCCGCTCGGATTACCAACATGATCTGCGGGCCCCATAGGGAGGGGGCTCCCGCCTGAGACTTCCTCACAATTCACTCAGAGACGAGGCTCCCGCCTGAGACTTCCTCCAAATTCAGGCTTGAGGAGCCCAAAAGTGACGACAATTACAGGTTTCCGATGACCCGCTCGGATTACCAACATGATCTGCGGGCCCCATAGGGAGGGGGCTCCCGCCTGAGCCTTCCTCAGAATTCACTCACAGACGAGGCTCCCGCCTGAGACTTCCTCCAAATTCAGGCTTGAGGAGCCCAAAAGTGACGACAGTTACAGGTTTCCGATGACCCGCTCGGATTACCAACATGATCTGCGGGCCCCATAGGGAGGGAGCTCCCGCCTGAGACTTCCTCCCAATTCACTCACAGACGAGGCTCCCGCCTGAGACTTCCTCCATATTCAGGCTTGACGAGCCCAAAAGTGACGACAGTTACAAGATTCCGATGACCCGCTCGGATTACCAACATGATCTGCGGGCCCCATAGGGAGGGGGCTCCCGCCTGAGACTTCCTCACAATTTACTCAACGATGATGAGGATGAGGATGATGAGTGGTGGTGAAGATGAGTGGTGAAGAGGATGATGATTGATTGTGAGTGGTGGTGGCGATGATGATGTTTGAATGAGGATGATGCCGATGCCGATGATGATGATGATGATGTTCGTGAGCGTGTGATAGAGTGCGAGTGATGATGATGATGAGTATGTGAGTGACTAAGCATGTGAGAGAGCATCATCGATGATGCTGATGAGGTTGATGATGAGAGAGTGTGAGTGAGTGTGAGTGGGTGTGTGTGTGTGTGTTCCTGTTCCTGCGCGGGGTGTCCAAAGAAAACAAGAACCCCACTTTGGATGTGGGGAACAAAACATGATGGACCCACGAACCCGGAAAGGGATAAAGACATGTGCAGCATGGTCACGTTTTCACGATACCCAACTGGGCGACATCTCACGAAACATCCCACGAGACACACCGCGAAAGATCCCACGAGACACCTCACGAAACATTCCACGAGACACCTCACGAAACATTACACGAGACACCCCGTGAAACATTCCACGAGACACCCCACGAACAGGCAACCACTCAACCAGACACGCCACGAAATATTCCACGGGGGTGCGACTGGGTGTGGTCGTGCTGGGGTGTGGTCGTGCTGGGGTGTGGTCGTGCTGGGGAGTGGTCGTGCTGGGGTGTGGTCGTGCTGGGGGGTGGTCGTGCTGGGGGGTGGTCGTGCTGGGGGGGTGGTCGTGCTGGGGGGTGGTCGTGCTGGGGCGTGGTCGTGCTGGGGCGTGGTCGTGCTGGGGCGTGGTCGTGCTGGGGTGTGGTCGTGCTGTGGTGAGGTCGTGCTGGGGTGTGGTCGTGCTGGGGTGGTCTTGCTGGGGTAGGGTCGTGCTGGGGTCGGGTCGTGCTGGGGTGTGGTCGTGCTGGGGTATGGTCGTGCTGGGGTGGGGTCGTGCTGGGGTGGGGTCGTGCTGGGGTCTGGTCGTGCTGGGGGGTGGTCGTGCTGGGGTATGGTCGTGCTAGGGTGGGGTCGTGCATTTCGCTCGAGACATCCTGCCAAATATTACCCGGAAATCGTCATCGAATTCGCGGTCCGGCGCGGTCTGCAAAACCAGCGTTTCGCTCGAGACATCCTCAACAAATTCTGAAACCAAGCGTTTCGCTCGAGACATCCCCAACTCTGCAAAACCAGCGTCTCGCTCGAGACATCCTCAACAAATTCTGAAAAACAAGCGTTTCGCTCGAGACATCCTCAAAAATAATTTCGCCGGCCTCCTTCGACCTCGATATTTATCAGGGACTAATTTCGCCGGCCTCCTTCAAGTTGGGCACCGGGGACATGTTTACATAGAAAAAGAGAACCCTGGGCCCGCGCCCTTTCCGGGAAAAAACGTGAAGATGCAGACTGAGGCCTAGAAGCCAACCATGGACAGGCGCAACGGAACACGATGGGCAGAGGAGGCAAGGAGAAAGATGCCTGCTCGCACAGAATTTACGACTGCACGTCGTGTCCCAACGGCAACGCGCCAGAGGACGACCAAGGGAAAGCAGGTGAGGCGCGGGCCCCATAGGGAGGGGGCTCCAGCCTGAGACTCACTCACAAACGAGACTCCCGCCTGATGCTTCCTCCGCATTCAAGCCTCAGGAACCCAAAAGTGACGACAGTCACAATAGGCCGATGACCCGCCTCGGATTAAAAACATGAACTGCGGGCCCCATAGGGAGGAGCTCCCGCCTGAGACTTCCTCGCAATTCACTCACAGACGAGGCTCCCGCCTGATACTTCCTCCATATTCAAGCCTCAGGGGCCCAAAATTGACAATTACAGGAAACCGATGACCCGCTCGGATTAAAAACATCAGCTGCGGAGCCCATCGGGAGGGGGCTCCCGCCTGAGACCTCCTACACCGACCAGGCTCCCGCCCGAGACGAC